CAACATTGTGCGCATCGCAGCGAAATGCTACCGGTCGATGAGGAAAACAGCAGATCCTCACACCCTCAGCATAAATATAGCTGTGGACAAGATCACTGATGCCTATTGTTCTTGCAAGGCTGGGTAAGTCGGGTATTCATGTTTTGAGGGTTACTTTTGAAATCAGTGATTTCTGTTGTTGGCAAATGTTTGAGTGTGCCTAGGCTTGATGGACTGTACTCGGTGGCTAACATGATTACAGTTTAGTAAAAAGCCTTCTCAGGTAAAAAATAAAATCATTAATGTGTGTTAGATACGGTACACATTGCATATTGATCTGTTCAGCTAACGTAAGACTGTAACAGACAGGCTTCAAGGTGTAGAAGTTGTATCGGTACTGCCATTATGCTGTACTTAAAAGGTTTTCATAATGAATGTGTTTATTATTGACTTTTTTTCCGACTTGGGGGTCATTGTTAACACATTATAGGCCTCCTTAAGACCTTACAATATTTAATATATTTTCATTTTATATAGGTGCTGGTGCCTGTCTAGCTAACGTTCCGGGCGAGAGGCGGGGTCGCACAGGTCGCCAGTGTGTCGCAGGGCCGCTCAAAATATCCCCATTCACTAAACACAAAGAAAGCAAAGCAATAATACTCACACCAGCACACACTCCTTTGTTCTTATTGATCCTACGACGGTTGAGCTGCAAATGCGGTCGTCCACAAGCTTTGATCCAAGCAAGGCTTTCCGTTTCAGATTTTGGAAATCTGTGAATTTTAGTTCCACAAATGCGATCAGGATGCCTGACATTGCCTGTACAGATACCCCACTGACAGTGGAGAACCATTCTTTATCGAGTCTTGACGCAAAAACTTTCTGCCGGTCTGCTAGTCCACAATGTACATTAGCATGTGTTTACTACTGTAGCTTGTGTTTGTGAGATGGTCACGCACGTGGTAGCTGCGCTGTGACGTGAAATGGGCATTAGCCAATGAAACGCGGCCCCTGTGGTAAGGTCCGTTGCGGGTTTTAGTGACTGCTTACTCCCACATATAGGGGGCAGTATTTCTTACTTCTACTACACCAC